CCCCAAAACCCCAAAACCCCATGATAGCAATATACCATGTATAAAGATTAGCAATGATGAAAAAATAATCAGAATTTATATATATTGATTAAAATGAATGAATATAGCTCAACTGGATTGAATGGTTCTGCTTCCAAATCAAATAATATGTCATACTTGAATCAAAGCGGAATAGAAATAGAGGGTTCTGAAGAGAAAAAATCTAGTTAAATGTCCTTAACATAAAAGGTATTCTCGAAGCTCTTAGCTGATCCAGAAAATTTGAATTGCTTTGATTGTGGTAAGTATATCAAAAGATACTTAAAAAGATAATTTGACATTTGATTGTAGGCAATCAAAACCCAGCATATGTATCAATAAATCTTGGCATATTTTTATGCTTCAACTGTGGTGTCTGCATTCACAGACTTCATTATGGAATAGAAATCTCGTATATCAAGTCTGTTCATGCCGATACTTGGAATCATCAGTAATTGAGAGTGCTTATTAACTCGGGCAATAAGCTATTGAGAGAATTTCTCGAGTTTTATGATCTACTTTATGAGCCTGTTTAGAAGAGATATAATAGTTAGGCTGCGTAGTTTTACAGGGATAAAGTAATAAATTAATATGTTATAAAAACAAGGTTATAGTTAAAAGCAAAAATCTATGGACAATAATTTACTAAGGAAAAACCAAGTTATGAAATAGGACGTAAGCATGTTGCAATGGGAACATCTTCTTAGCCAGTGCTATACCATCACTTGAGTTGTAATTAACTTTCATAAATTTATTTTAGATCGTGACATCATGCAAGAACTTTTTGAATGGGAGGAACTTTCATTGATTGAAACAAATTCTTCACTCTACTCCAGATTTGTAATGTATATATCAGACCTAGAAAAGCATAATGAATAAATTTTCTTGTAAAACGGAAATGTACCCTTAAAGGACCAGATGCCATTGAATCCAAATTTACCTCCTAGGCCGATGATTGCTAGTGAACCATTTTGTGATAATAATGGGATAAGCAACGAAGATTATTTGCTATTGATTAATAGGCTGAATGAATTTGCTGACAATACTTTTACATTTGGTGAATCGATATTTAAGAAAATAGAAGAAGTAGGAAACATAAATGAAACACTTAAAAATACTGCAGACAAGATAGTAAATAAAAGCTCTGAGATCAGCACTTCATTTATTAAGAAGACTAGAGAGAGCATAACTTCCATAAACTAAAGCCAAAAAATAACTTCATTGAGAGAAAAAGCAACTGACAAGTTAACATCTTTGGGAGGCAAATTATGGGGAGTAAGATAATATATTTAGATAATACAATTTAATAGTTCTTTGGCTCTTCAAGTGATAGCAAATAAAATAGTGATAAAAAGTAAAAGGAAGAAACAAAAGGAGATCCTAGGTTCGATACTAATATACTTAGCATCTAGAATGAGTCTTCATTGTAAGGGAAGTTCAAGGACTAGAAAAAGATCTCTTTGAGAGACAACTTAATACAAATAGAGGAAGACGAAGGAAATTACGATTTGCAGCAAAACTATGATCAATCGATTGATAAAATATAGAGTAGTTAATTTTGAAATCTCAGAATTCTCATTCATTCATCGCTTATTGGGGTTTTGGGGTTTTGGGGTTTTGGGG